GGGAGTAATAATATTCTGCTAATTTGGGGTAGGAAAATGACAAAACTCTAACAATTATAGCAAAATAAGAATTTTTTTAAACAGCTTTCCATTCCAACCATACATGCACACACATCACACAAATGAGGAAACCAGAAAACAGTGGAAAAGCCTCATCCTGCTCACTCCTACTACTGTATAATTCAGACCTTACCTTGCAGTTTCCTCTGGCTCAAGGATTCCCGCCTTTTGAGATGCTGTCTAATCATACAGTGTCCTTACTTAACCTTGGAAGGGCCAAGAGACAGTAACTGCCCCAGCCAACTCCTCTGGTTGGCCAGCTGCCTTGTCAATATGAAAAAGGCTTTCTGGCAGAACGGGCTTTTCCTGATGACAATTAATGAGAAGGGGATATTGCAGATCCACAGTGGATTCCAAAGTATGAGACAGAATAGACTGCCCTATTCTGTTTAGGAGCAAAGGAAGTGACTTCAAAAGCTGCCTGATGTTCTTAATTTTGAAATGTAAGGACTCCCATTCTAGTCTGATGTGAGCAGTTGGGTGATAGGGAAAAATTTAGCTTCCTCTTTCTCTGTAGTTACTATCCTACTTCAGACACATTATGTGAAGACCCAGCTTTCTGGTTCTAACGCTGGGAAAGGTGGAAGGAAAAAGAAAAGGAGGACAACCAGCAGCAAGGTGGATGGACTCAGTTACAGTGGCGATGAGTGCACTGTTGGGAGACTTGAAAGAACATCTAAGAGAAAATCTAAATATGGAGTTGAAAACGACTTGATGGTACATTATTAATCACTGGTCTGTAGTTAGAAGAAGCCATCCCCACTTTCTGAACCTCATCTCTTAGTCTCTGCATAATGCTGGCCTAGTTGCAAGCCCAGAAATCTTCTGGGTCGCGCCAAGCAAACCTAATAAAATGGTTGGAAAACAAATGATCCATTTCATAATTGCATTAGTTTGAGTCTCATTGGAGCACGTACATATGGAGTCGGGTGGGGGGCACATGTAAGGTCTTACCTATCAAAACGGTAAGTTACCTGGCTGCCCTTCTCCAAAACACTTGGGCGTTTTTAAAGTAAGTATTGATCTCTATCTTGCAATGACCCTGTAACGCTCATTCCCTGCGGGTAAGAGGCAGGTGTTTCGTCAGCTCCACATTTCAACTTTGAGATTCAGTGCCGGGAGGGGTGTATTTCTTCTGACCAAGCAGCTATCGAAGGCAGGAGAGCTTTTCCCGAAAAGACCCGGGTTTAATCCAACTGGATACTCTCTGGGTTCAGCACCCGCGGATTTACTCGAGGGCCGAGGAAAGGGTTAATTTTAAAGAGGGAGGAGAGGGGCGAAGGCTTGGAAGAGTTGTCTCAGCGCCCCGCCCCCGCGCGTGTGGAGGTGGCGCAGGGTGGGGGGAGCCGGGCAAACCTGGCTTCTCCTGTTGTTCTCCGACGTCCTAGCCCAGCCTGTGCAGCCTCGGGGCTGGAACGAGAAGAAGGCAAGGCCGCGTGTTGCTCCCGTAAGAGCGCTTAGCCCAGCTGCTGGCAGCAAGACATGCGCATTGCAGAGCGCCCTCTCACCCCGCTCAGTTATGCCAAGTATGTGAGCGCGAGCAGCAGCAGCGGCAGCAGCAGCAGCAGCGGAGAGCGAGAGGCGCCCAAGGACCAACTAGATCATGGCGTGCTCTAGCCAGCCGCGCTCCAAGCTGCTGCGCTTGTCCTTGCCGCCGCCTCCGCCTTGTTCGAGGCGCCGCCAAGCAGCAGCACCCTTGCACTCGACGGCAGTGAACTGAGGGAGGCGACCAGGCATGGCTGACCCTCTGCGCAGGACTTTCTCCAAGCTGCGAGGTAGGAGGTCGCAGCGAGTGGCGACAGGCGCCGGGGAAGCTGCCGGGGACCCGAGCGAAGGCGGCAGTAGGGGCGTCGGAGTCTTTCGAGGGAAAACCCAGCAGAACCTGCACCACCATCACCCCTACCAAGGAAACGACGCGGCGACTGGACAGTGCGCTGGGCTGGGAAGCCAGGTGGGCGGCTGTGAGGTCCTCCTCGTGTCCCCGCTGGAGGAGCCGGGGCTGCGGGAGTCGGCTGCTTTCGTAGGAAAACCCAGCGGTGCCTGCGCCCCCATCGCCCCTACCAAGGAAACGACGCGGCGACTGGACAGTGCGCTGGGCTGGGAAGCCAGGTGGGCGGCTGTGAGGTCCTCCTCGTGTCCCCGCTGGAGGAGCCGGGGCTGCGGGAGTCGGCTGCTTGGCCCCGGTGGGGAAAGGCGGAGATGCCTGGAGAAAGGTTGCCTGGAGCCGTCGTCGCCCGTGCTTGCCCCCCGAGAAAGCGCGCGGAAGGCGCTGCGCTGCCGCAGCCGCAGCAGCAGCAGCTGAGCCCTCCGGAGCTCCGCGCGCCTCCGCTGGCTGCCGAGCTCTGCTTCTCCTCTTCCTCCTTCTTCCCGAGGGGCGCGGAGCCTGGACCGGCCCTGGAGTGCGGTGGCGAGAGCGAAGAAGACGATTACTACGATAACCAAAGGCTGCCTGGCTGGGGCTGCCCAGGAACGTCCAGAGCGCCCGAAGAAGGAGCGCGGGGAAACAAGGAAGGCAGCGCGGCCGCCGTTCCGGGCGCAGGCGGCGGCAACAGGGCCAGAGCAAGAGAAAGCACCGGCAAACTGCGAAGCCAGCTCCAGGAGGCCTATTACCTGTTGATCCATGCCATGCATGACCTGCCTCCGGCCAGTCCCACCATTGGAGGTCACTTGCCCCAGCCTGCTAGCCATCCGCCCTCCTCTGAGGCCGCAGGGAGTGATGTGCTGTGCTGGTCCTTCTCCTGCGGGGACAGATGCTCCCAGCTGCAAAGATCCAATCCCAGTGCCCAGGGCTCAGCCAAGAATCCCCCCTGGCGCCAGGGCATCAGCAAGAGTCTGGAGAGCCTGCGCGTTGCCCAGCCTTCCACCTCCAAGCTGCTGTCCCTGCCAAGATGCAGGAGCGATGGCGCGCTCCGATCTCTGCCTCAAGAGCCACCGGAGCCCCGCGGCCACCTGTTGCTCGAAACTCAGGAACTTGGCACCAGGCGGGAAGCCTGCTTCCTTGCAGCTGCCACACGCAGCTCTGGCGACAGCAGCTGTGAGAAGAGCCTCAGCAGCCAAGGCCTTTGTGAGGTGCATCCCTCAAGGCTCCAGGAAGACTTGGAGGAGCTGCTGGTCCCAGAACTGTGTGCTGCCCAGGGCAAAATGGTGGATCCAGCCACAGCAACAGGGTGTGGCCATGAGGGAAGTCCTCTGCACCCCCCGCAAGATGTCCTCCAAGGTCCCTTCAAGCCACCCGCTGTGACAGTTCGGAAGCTGCAGAAGTGGATGTACAAAGGACGTTTGCTCTCGCTGGGCATGAAAGGCCGGGGTGGGACAGCTGGGATGTCCTCCCCATCTTCCCCCACCAAGGTCACTGGGAGCTGCAGGCCGCTTCTTGGCAGAGGAGAGGGGATCACGCTTTCACCACCTGCCCACTTGAATGGCCCCGGGGGCAAGGCCCGGGGATCCCCTTCAGACCAAAGAATCTTGCTCACAGGTAATGTGGTCTCCTGGTTTCCTTTCAGGGGCCTTGTAAACCTGAGGGCTTTGTCCCATTTTTACTGTTAAGAGTTTCCCTCTTTCTTGCTTCTCTATGGTTGTGAAATACTCTGCTTGTTTGAATGACTGGTAGGCCTAGGAAACCAGCCATTTTGGAAACTGATAGCCATACCAAAGCCTCATGTAGTCTGTGGTCTTTTGCCAGTCGGCTTATCTGTTCAGTAGCCTCCAGAGGCAAAAGGTAGCCTCACTTTTCCAGTCTGGAATACATGATTTATGCACTGAAGTTGACTGAGCCTTGTATACACAATATTATACAACCCCCCTAAATTTTAATCTAGAAGGCATGCCAAGTCCTATGCCAAATCCTAAAATGCAGATAGCATGCTAAATTTGCAAAAAAGAAGCCTCCGGGCATGTTGGTAGAGCACAGGTAGACATTTTCTTTAGGGAATGTACCACAGTTGAGTTACTTCTGACATAACTCGCTGCATGATACCATCTGGTTAAAAGTTAATACTTGCTCCTGTTCAATTTTGGCAGTTTAAATATGTTTTTCTTTGGCTGCATTATTATAGATTTTTTAAAAAGCATATGGTATCATGCTTCTGGAACTCTTATTGCTCAGAGTGCAAGAGGATGAGAAACCAGCATATTTGAGAATCCTTATGCAGTTAATATTACCTGTGAAAAATTGCCACGACAGCACTGTATATATGTATCATGTGCAGAAGTCGCTGTTGTTTTAGGAATTTGGATACAAGGTGGAGGGAGTTAGTCTTTCCACACAGTATTTGTTACACAGCTCATACAGTGTGCCTTCTTAATTCCCTCAATTAATATGAGTTCACAAATGATTTCTCCATATGGATACTTCAACCTTCCCTAATTAAATGACCTCTAGATTAAACATACTGCAATTAAATGTGACCAGTGGCCATGCTGGCTAGGAATCTGAGCTGCCACGGTGGGGACAGCAGATTGGAAAGGGATGATGCTAACAGAAAGTTGCTTTACCTTGTGTATTCTTCACAAGTGGCAGAAGAAAAAAAAAGCAGCTGTGGTAACAGGTTATCCTGTATTGGACTACAATTTACATCACTCCCATGGAAACTGGGGATAATGAGCATTATAGTCCAAAACAGCTAGAGTCTATCTTTCATTGGGGGAAGATGGGTGGGGATAAATTTGATAAATAAATAAATAAAATAAAATTAGAGAAGTAGTTTCAGAAGTTGAAATAAAGGCTGCACAAATGTTTGAATTGCAGGTTCAGTTCAAAACACTGATTTGGTCAAACTGATTTGATTTGGTTTTGATTATTTTGGATATTCTGCACATCCACACAGGAACTTGTCAAGTATTATTTTAACTATATTTCATAACCAATATTGAATATAGCAATATCCTTCATATACAATTAGGCAAGTAGTTTCAGAAATTGAAATAAAGCACAATGTTTGTGCTTTTGATTTGCAGGTTCATTTCAAAAAGCTGATTTGGATCAAACTGATTTGATTTGAATTGGTTTTGATTATTTTGGACATTCTGCACATCCACACAGGAATTTTTTTAAAACTGAACTGACTATTTGATTTTCATAGACTCCTGGAAGTATCAGTGGCATATAAATAAAGACGCTTCTCATCTCCTCCTTTGCAAAACCTCTGCTTCAAGTAGCAGTGGAGATTTTAAAAAACTGTCTGGTGAAGTCCTGTGACCTCATTTTATTCTATTTGTCCTGAGGGGTGAGACGTTCCAGGAGGAGTTGCCAACTCAGCATGGCCATTTCTAGAAAATGGCTCCCTTTATATATTAATTGTGGATGTGTGGCTAAAGTGAGTTAATAACTCACTTATTCAAGTACCCATATGTGAAGCAATCTTTCTAAGTCTCATTGCATTTATTTCTTTTAACCTAACATTATTGCAGTAGTTCAGTGTAAACCTGTAGTGGATGGGACAAAGTAGGAGGAATTTTATCTCTTCTTTTAATGACAAAATTACAATGCAGAAAAAAAATTGGGGGAAAGCCTTCTCAACCATCCCTTGGCTCCAGGCCTGGTTCACTATTATGTGCATAAATTAGAACTTGCAGGGGGGTTTTTAATGGCAATCTGCTTCATTATTTGTCGGATAATGATTTTTTTTAATTGTGCATGCCTATATTATTATCATCATCATCCTGAATCAGTCCACTGCAGTATGAAGGTGTCTTCATTGAACATTATGGACCATAATCTATCAAAGCAGTTCAGTGCACGTTGTTAGACAGATTTTTTGATTTTATAGGCTAGAACTGAGAGAGAGAGACTGGTCCAAAGTCACCCAGTCAGCTTCTGTGTCTAAAGGAGGGCCAGAATCTAAATCTCCTTGCTCCAAGTCCAACACCTTAACCACTACACCACATTGCTCTTGCATGCCTATGTAGTAGGCAAGAAGGGTTATTTCAGAAATGTGTAGCTTTACTTGAACCTCTAATTTGGCCATTTGCATTATAGAATGAATTCTGGATCAGCCAAATTATTTGTTTTTGTCTTTTAAGAACAGACATAGTCTTAGATCTATCTTTTACATGCATGGTTAATGTGAGTGGTTATGGAAACGAGTTATGTGTTCAGAATCCACTCTTTAGAAACACAAGTGTCTATAATGTAGGAATAAACATCTTCTATTTTAATATATTCTGATATGTAGATTATTTCTATGTTATATTAGCCTTCAAATACAGAGATATTTATCTTATTATAGAAGTAGGCAGTTTGGTGGCTTCCAGATATTTTGAGCTAACAAAATATTAATGAGTTAGCACGGGTAATAGTCAAGGATTAGTGGAGTTGTTTATGTATTTGTGAGATTTATATCCCATCTTTCATTCAGGAGCTCAAAGTGGTAGGTGTAGTGTTCTCTTCTCACCTTTTTTTCTATAGCAATCAATCTTTGACATAGGTTGGGCTGAGCAGGAATGACTGGCCCAAAGTCATCTAGGAAGTTTCCGTAGCTAAGGTAGACTTGAATCTGGGTCTCCCCAGGGCCACTCCAACAGTTTAACTGCAACATCATAGCAGCTTTTACATTGGAGTTCAAATTCAAAATATCTGGAGGACACGAGATTGATTATCCACATCTCAGAAGTATTCAAATTACATTTGCTTAATACATCATGCTTAATCATAAAAACGGTTAAGTAATAGATGTACTGAATGGATGTCCCATATCCACACTCTGATTCCTTCTGTGATTGAGTGGAGAAATATAACTTCCAAGCTACCTTAGCTTGGCAATGATTAAGTGCATTTTCTAAATGGGGTGGTGGTGGTGATACTACAATACTTCTGGCCAATTTACTTAGCCTGCCCAAATTATGGTTACTTTCTTCATAGACTAATTGGAAGCAGTACTCCATGGTTTCAGTGATGTCTTCGAAATAAATGTGCTTAGAGTTGTTGCTATAGGGTTGTTGCACTGACTTTAGCCTGGAAAACTGCATAAAATTAATAATTTTATTTAAGTGAGCAGCTAGAAAAAGAGACTACAGAAAGGAAATGTAGCTAGTGCACCTGCCTACAAAACTTATTGAGCTTCCAGGAATTGTATTCACCTTTGTACAGATTCTCCCAGGGTGTTGCTGGAAAATCCAAGTGCTTAAGAGAACCTGCCATATTATTCAGAGCCCTTCCCCCAACATTACTGTGTTCAGGTGAACAGGCTCCTTAGCAGGTGTTTATGCCTTTCATAATGTTTGAAGAAAGACTAAATTACATTAATAGTCATTCCTTATCTTGCCCTTTTAGCAGTGTGTGGTCTCTCGTTAACTGTAGAAGCAGTTACATTTTAGTATGGTTTCTTTTTCTTTCATGTTACAACTTTTCCATGTAAGGACATACTAAATTACTGTAGTAGAAAATGCTTTTCAAGCATGCACCCACGTTTTAAGTTCTGTTTTAGGATTATATCAGGTTTAAAGTTTCATTGCTTTAAATCCTCCTAGATTTATTACAAAACACTCCTTCAGAAAAATATAATTAGCAAAAGCATTCTAAGTGTTGGTTGCAAAATATTATTATATTCTAGGTATTGTTTTACAGGCATGGGGAGGTTACAGTGCATATAATTATAATGTATCTTAATTGTACAGACTTGAATAGGCACAGTAAAAGAAGCAGGCATGTTCGAGAAGTAAGGGTTGCTGTGTTGTGAACAGTTCTTCTTGCTATGTAGAGTTGTAGCATCTTGCTTAGAATTACTATGTAAAGCAAAATATAAAAACTAGCACAGTGAATAATTAAATGATAAAAAACATAAATACATTTTTAAAAATTACTCTGGATTATATTTAAACAAGGAATTCTCTACCTTTAAAGAAGACTTAGAACAGCTTATTATGAAAATAAAAATGGAAAGTGAAAAATCTGTGTTAATGTTAAATAGAAAGAAGGCAAAGGTAATATCAGCATGCACAAGCTTACTGTTGACAGCGAAGACTGAAGATGAAAAGTGTTTTCTTAAGCTGAAGAATAGATAAAGATGGGCATTGTGCTTGAGAAGTAAAGAAGAGCTTAATCCTAAGGAAGAATGGACTACAAATATAGGCAAAATCATAAAGGATAAGGACATTTTAGTAAGAATAAAGATTAGACTGGTTAAAGCAGGGGTCTTACAGTGGTAATCTATAATTGTGAAACCTGTTCACTATTTACCCCAAATTATGGGTTTGGAGATGACTGCTACAAGTATCATGGTGAACAAGAAGGACCAATCAGTCAGTCCCAGACCTAATGATGTCAAACTGCTTTCTTGAAATCAGCAAGCAGAAACTTATACACATTGGGTATATAATTCTGCCTGTATCATATGCCCAAAATTATCCTGTTAAAGGGAATTTGGAGAAGGGGACAGTTCTATAAGTTATTACTAGACATAGTTCATGACAATGAGCATTAGTCTATACATTCATCAGGAGTCGAACAAGAATCAGTGGCATCTAACAACCAATGCAACCATTAATATATTGGAATGGATTGAATTTAAATTCTGTTGCTGGTGTGGGTCTTCCGGGCTGTGTGGCCGTGTTCTTGCAGTTTTGTTTCCTAATGTTTTGCCAGCACCTGTGACCGGCATCTAGACCCACACCAGCCATCATATGCCGGCCGTGAAAGCCTTTGACAATACATTAAATTCTATTGTTAATTAATACCTTAGCTTTGATTGAATGGTGAAAACTATTACTTGAATTTTCCTCTTAGGTAAATGTAATACCATGAAACCTTAAACTTTGCAGTTAACTTAAAGGAGCTCACTGAATTGAATATCTAAACAGTGGTGAACTCTCAGTTTAGTGGTTAAGATACTGAACTTGAAAGATCCAGATTCAAGTCCTCGATAAACCATGGAACTCACTGGATAACATTGAGCCAGTCATTCTCTCTCTGCCTATCCTGTCATGGAGATAAAATTACAGAAGATCCATCATGTATGCCACCTTACCCTTCCAGAGGTTATGCATTCTATTCAGTCAGACATGATTCTTGGTGATTTCATGGACATATTCAGATAGTATTCTTGGCAATAAGGTGGAAGGGATTTGACATGACATTTTTTTTTTCTTTCTGATCTAACCCAAGTCCTTGAGATTTTTTCATGGTCTCCCATCAGAGTCCTAATCAGGTTTGAACCTGCTTGGTTTTAAGATCAGCCAAGGTCATCTAGGTGCTACCTAACTGAGCCCACAAATGTGTACACTGGCTCAAAAAGGGTGGTCTAATACTGCTGTACATGGTTATACCATTTTCTTCCTCTTTCTATGTTTTGCATGAATAACAAAGTAGATTTTTAAATGTTTCTAAAAGTTATCTGTTCCTCTATTTGTTTGATTAGAAGCAGGAGGAATCCATCTTAAATAGGTCTAGTTTGGTAGGAATATCTTTCTCCCAGAAAAGTGAGAGCCACTCCAGTCAAGAATCTTGCTGTTTTGTGGGCAATGGTGGCCGAAGCAAAGCATCCTTATTAAGTGAGCATTTACTGAGCATTTATTAAAGGATGTAAAGGACTTCTGATATGCATTGTTGTTAGTAGAGGGGGAGGGGGGTAGATTTCCCCCCTTTTGAATTATCACTGTTCTTGGGAAATGATTACAAGTTCTGAAACTACCATAGTATTATTTGTAGTTATATCATGTCTTACTGCTATCAGTGTATCAAATGACATAGCTTCCTTCCTATCCTCCTCTCTTTTTACTGCCACCCCTGACTGATAGTGAAACTGCATGATGGAGTCCCTGTACTGTGAAATATATAGCCTGTGTGTGTGTGTGTGTGTGTGTGTGTGTGTGTAGGGTTGTTCTTTGATAAGAAAGAGATGGAAAGTCATAAGAGATGGCTTGTCTCTTGAGTTAAGCTTGTCCTTTCTCAACTTGGCCCCTTCCGTAAGTATTGGGATTAGAATTTCCAGCCAGTTTGGATTTAGTCTTTTATATGTGAAACCGGTATTTTTAGACTTTCTAGATAGATGTGTGCTATTTTTCTTATCGCTGTGGGTTGATTTCACCCTCCCCCTCATTTTTTTTAAATCCAGCCTGTATAATTAATTTAGTGGCATTTATTTTAAATCTTGAAGTGGATCACAAGTAAACTCACATACACTAATAAACTATAATGTATCCATAGTGACCTCAGTGGTAACTAGATATAATGCATGAAAAACATGCCGAACACAATGCACAGGTTGAATATATTGATTCAACTATTCATTGGCTTCTAATGTACTTCCTTCCCTGCTTTACTTTACATAGTTGTTTTCAGTTTACTCTAAAATTTAGATGTCTTTAAAAATTCAGTGTTGTAAGTTTATGAATAGTCTGCCTGAAAGAAAACGTTGTTGGGCACTTTTGATTAAACATGTTTAGCATTAAGCTGTCATTTGATATAAACCTCACATACGGTATATCTAACTAAAATCAGGTTGGCTTCCAACTAAACATAGAGTGGTTTGGGCAATCTGTGCTCTAGATACTTTTGAAATACACTTCCCAGTAGCTTCAGCCAACATATGCAATGGTGAATATGTGGGGATATTTGTAGTTATACAATGTTATTCACGCCGCAGATTTTTCTCTCTTGGATTGCAGATGTACGTATCCAGATCTTATTCAACATTTCTTTGCATTTGAAGGACTATTAATGCTTTTAAAGGACACTGAATTGCCCTCAGATATAAATGTATTTTGCAATTGCTCACAATAGTATCGCACAATGTTTAAATAACTTTAGATAGGGAGAAATAGAAATAAATCTACATAATCAGCCTGTGATGTATATTATTGGGCAGTTAATACTTAGGGTTTTAGCTAGACTTAATCAGATTTGCCATAGACTCATTAAAATGGATAGGTATAAAGGTAGTCATGGTTAAGACAGGATTCGATGTGTTGTGTTGACCATATCCTGAAAAAAAATGCAAATCTATACCAAATATGTAATTTTTTTGTGTAGGATTCCATAATATGTGAATGAAAAAATACAGTGAATCCACCAACCATGCATAATGGAGCACCTCAGAGTTAATAACTGGTCTTTCTGGCACTACAAAGTTGCATGGATGGCAGTAGAGAAAGCATTTTATCAAGATCTTGGTGACAATTTGGCCATTGATGGGCAGCTAGCTTTGCAAGATCTTCTGTGGTAGTTTACATTTGGTAGGTGTCTGTGGTTCATTTCGACTTCATCTTTGAAACAGCCTGGTGTATTTCCTTTAGCACATTTTATCATGCAATATTTATTCACATCACACTTGATCCTGTTACACAGGCAGAATAAGTTTGGTCATTTTGCAACTGGACTATTGTTGTCTTCATGGATGAAAACTGATCGCATTGTGTCATGTTATGGCTCTTTTTTGTGTTACAATATTTTATGTACATTTAATATCAATAATGAATGCTTGAAATCTGGAATAATGCTCTCTCTCTCTCTTTTCTTCCCTCCTCCACTTTACAGATCTGATCGAAAATGTTTACATACCTTCTGAGAGCAGAAGAGAACTTAAGAACTTGAAATCCAGTGAAGTTTCTGAGTGCAGGCCTCGGATTGCTAGCATTACTGTGTCCAAGAAGCGGAATTGGTTACAACAAAGTTCTCTGAGAGTACCTAATTTGGAAAAAGGAAACTCTTACAAGAAAATTTCAGGAGAAAATTATCAGGTACTGAAATCTCCCAATCCTTTCTTTGAGCCAAAAATGCCTCAGACTTTTTCCAAATTTCTAGGGCAAGAAAGCCCTAAAGGAAGAGTCAGTTCTGTACATGCTGCTGAGTATGGAACGAGATCTTTGGCACTACAAAACTGTACTTTAGATTTTGGTGAAGATAATGATGCAGATGATGAAGGAGAAATATGGTACAATCCTATCCCTGAAGATGATGAGCCTGAGTTCCCTTGTTTTTTAAGTGGCAATACTAATCATTTGGACTCCCAAGCCCTGAATTACAAAATAGCACCTGGGAATGATTTAATTAAAGTCATAGGGCATAATGAAGGTCTTCCTCAATTCTTCGACTGTTCTGGAAATGGTCAGCCTAGGGAAATGAATCAAATAGATAACGTGCATTCAATGGAATATTTGCAAACACGCAAGCCAAAGCCTGTATGCAATACTCTGACTGGGTCTGCAATGGAGGAAGGTCCACTTAAAGCTACTACAGGAGGTAAGAGCAATGTAAACATTTAACTTACAGTTATGTTTGGCATCCGTACCAATGTGATACTAGTCATGTTTTGGAGAGCCGAAAATTCAAATCTTAAGGTGGAATTAGTTATGCTTAAATAGTTGATGTGAGTAATATATTCAGTTTAAATAATTATTTGTGCATCTGATAATATATGCATCTGCTAATAATGTGTGTGCATCAGGGTACACATTTATAAGATTCCACTGTATCCCAGATCTGTGGGAAATCTTGATGTCCTACTCTGGACAGGTAGCAACTCTGTGAATCACAACTGGTTTCCTAAGCTTCACATTAACTCCTGGCTTAATTTTTTTTGTTTAAATTGCATATATACTAAGGTGCCAAATTATTGTTTAATTTGTTAAGATTACAAAAATCATTAAAATGTAAATGTTCTGAGAGCTGGAAGGTAGTTTATTTGGTGCCATTACTGAACTGGTCCATTAAGAATCAATAACTGCTGCAAATATGCTGATCTTTTTTTCTCCTGTGGAAAGGTCAGTTGCGTTTCTAAAATAGGTTCTGCAGTTTAGAAATATTATACCTACCTTTAACCTCTACAGGTAGTCCTCATTTACCGACGGTAACTGGGACCGGGAACTCCATCGCTAAGCAACACAGTCGTAAGGCATATGACTGCACCAACTTACGACAGCAGTTTCGGCAGTCCCAGTTGCTGTTGTTAGGTGAATCCCACATGGTTACAGCATCTCCTAGTCACGTGATCACCATATGCGACCTCCTGCCAGCTTCCCTATTGATTTACTTGTTGGAGGCCGGCAGTGAAGGTCACAAATGGGCATCAGGTGACTGTGGGACACTGCGATGTTGCAATTGTGAGCTGATTGCCAAACACTCGAAATCATGATCATGTGACCATGGGGACGCTGCGACGACCACAACTATGGGGACCCATCGTAAGTCCCCCTTGTTCATCATCACTGTAACTTCAAACGGTTGCTGAACAAGTGGACATTAAGCGAGGACTACCTGTATTCGTTACTTACAACAGAGTTGTACAACTTGGTATATTGACAGCTTCCCTCCAAAATTAAACTGGGTTTCATTTTACCTACATTTTATTTATTTATATGATTATTCTCTAGTCATTTAATCATTTCCCCTTTCTGTAATACTACAGATTATAATTTTAGGGATCTGTACCCAAAACTTTCTGGGCCTACATGGAGCAGTCTTGAGGCCTCAGGAAGTGCAGTGCTGACGTTACAGTGTAAGTCTGAACCCCAGTAGAATGGGAGGCATTTCTCCTTTGGATTCATAAATCATAGAAATGGGAATATTTACAGCTCAGCACCATAAATAATGCTATTAACATGCTAGTCACTTCAAAAGGATCTGATGCTCTTTAAGAGGGCAATTCTGTACTTGTTTAATCAAAGGTGTGTCCCATGAATTAAATGGAGCCTACTCTCAGGTCACCGGCCATAAGACTGCAAGTCTAATTTTCTATCATGATGAATCGGACATGCTCATGGAGAACAATATTTAATTATTTTGAATTAGGATTTTACTGCCGCTGGTAAGTAGAAAGGTAAAAAATTCCTGAAATTTTGAAGCAACAAGGAAAACATTCACTAAAATTTTCCCTCCTAAAGAAAATGGATATTTGGGAGCAAATGTGGCATTCTTATTTTTTTAGCGCTCTTTACAAATAGAAAACATGTTGGAATTTAAAATGTTTTACTGAAAATGTAGCTGCCAGCTGCTAAAATCTAAAGAGTATACTATTTAGTAAATGTTATTTTTAAAGTAAAGCAAGAGACATAAGTCCTTGTTGAAAAGAGAAGAAACCATCAACATTGTCAGGAAACAAAATAAGTTAATATATATTGGCCCTTGTCCTCTGCAGTAAGAAACAGATACAGAAGTTTCTGAAAAAAGAAAAATCCCTAGCTCTAACCCTGAAAAGTGGTACGGGGAAAAGGCTTAGAGTATATATTTTACTGCATGAAATACCAACTAATCAGTCTCTCTTTTTGAATCCTAGGTACAGTTAGGAATAGTACTGATTTATTTTATCATCTTCATAGCTTGATAGTTTACCTGCTTTGAGATAAGTTTCTCTACCTTTTTACATGTTAATTTATCTTCATGCAGAGACCTGTTTTTTTTTTTTTACATCTTAACCAGCTGAGGTATAATTTTAAAATAATTAGGAAATATTTCTTAATCTGATTTTTCAGGAAACCCCCACACCCCCACACACAAAAGCCCTGGAAAAGAGTGGGGCTAAAATTACTCATTTTTATATTTATTTATTACTCAGGCTTGAACTTTATATGCTGTGTCAATCATAATTGACTTTAAACTGTGGCTTTGGGGGCAGAGTTTGAGGGAGATCACATCTCAGTTAGTAAAGATTCAATTGTGTGCTTAAATATTATTCCTGTAAGTTATATTAAGCCTGTAGGACTGGATATATCTGTGAACTTCTGGCTTCAAGTGTGAAAGTTCATGGGCCTTAAGTTTTACGATATTAAAGGGAGGATGTCCATGGAGGAAATATCAGGAAAATTTATATTATTTTCTACATGTTGTCCTCATTGTCAAATAAGTAATCAGAAAAAAAATGCTTGATACACTCTAGTACACATCACAATTGTATGAAGCACTAAACCACTCTGATCTGTTTTATCTGACTTCTAAATGCTTCATATAATCTTGAACATTAGATCTCTGCAAATCTTCCAAAAAAGATGCTTTGGAATACATAGATACAGCTATTTCTTTTTCCAGGCTCATGACACTTTTGGAAATTGTTCCAGGCAGTCTGCATATGGGTGTGCATGAATTGCCACTTCATTTTTTTTTTCCTTAGCAAAGTATCTCTACGTGCACTCATATGCACAGACAACCAGGACTGGTTTCCATGAGTTGGAAAAAGATGTGCACCTTGAATGAATCCAGAAGAGAAAAATCCTCCTCATTCCAAAATACCCCTTTCAGTACATTATTTAAATCAGTTATAATTTTGGTAAGATTGAACCAGTTTTGTGGGCATCATACTTCTACCCACATACTTATTCATTCTAAATTTTCATGTCATCTCTTTATAGTCACATAATGGTCTCTGAGCTTTATCTTTACATGTCTCCTCTTACGTAAAGGCAAATGCTTTTACTTGCATTTATTTGAAAAGAAATGTCTTCTAATCAGTCTTCGAATTGCTTTGGAGGAGATACTGGAACTGAACAAGGGTTAAAACAGAGATTTAGATTCAGTGTTATTACTAAAATATTTATTTCTTCATAAGCTGGAAAAAAGTATATCCAATACGTACATTTGTGTGTGTGTGTGTGTTTTTTCAGAAGTAGGTCTCATGAAGTTCAGAGAGACTTCACTCCTAAACAGTGAATATAGCACTATCGTCTCAGGGTTGGTATGTTTGAGGGAAGATGATTGATTTTAAGGGGACTCACATTTTCTGTGGCAAGCACTGTTACATTTTTCTTGGCATGTGGTCGTTTTTATGGCTTTTGCTAAAATGTTAATAATGGATTTTATTTGCTAACTGGGTTATGGTAAACGGCATGCATTTATATTGCACTGTACTTCAGTGAATAGTCACTAGTTTTAATTGAGGCTTGTAGAGCATCCCTGCCTTTACTAGAGAAAATTAAATAACAGCTTTCATATCATAGGTGAAAAGCAATTGCTTTATTGAATGTCTTGATTATGAGACTGGTTATGAACCCTGGTGACATTGTTTGGGAGTTTATCCTATACCATTCCTTGTGTATGGAGGCAATTAAGCTATTTTAAATGCAGCTTTGCCTCTTGTGTATGTTGAATAAGGATCACATTGAATGAAATAATTGATAAAGAGACTCCCTGCTGTTAAGTAATTGGCTTTATTGCTAAGGAGCACTTAAGATTTCTTTTAATCCTGTTAAAGTGTTTACTGTTAATTTTAGTTAAACTTAAAATGACAGCTCATTCAGGCAAAATGACTACATAGGGGACAGCAGGCCAAACAAGCTCACTTTGTATGAATCTGAAGCAGTGGCAAAATATGAAGCAGTATTAGACTTATATGGATTTAAGCTGTGGCTGATAAGTCTTTTGCTATAGTGATTTTTTAAATGCAATAAGGTAGAATCATTCTAAGCTAAGGAAAAAAAGTGCTAATATCTACAATTCGTATGCTATGATCTATAATGATTTTTCAATCCTGTTTCACCATTCTAGTAACATTTATATATGCGCACACATACACACACACATACGCTTGTGCCTTCGAGTCAGTGTTGACTCCTAGCAACTGCCTGAACAAGTCCCTGCAGTTTTCTTGGCAAGATTTTCAGAAATGGTTTGCCATTGCCTCCTGCCTAGGGCTGAGAAAGTGTGACAGGCCCAAGGTCACCCAGCAGGCTTCATGCCTAAGGTGGGACTAGAACTCATGGTCTCCCAGTTTCTAGCCTGCCGCCTTAACCACTACACCAAACTAGCTCCCTAAAGTAATATATACTGGTAACTATATTATTGAGACTATTTCTGTTTCTTCAGATTTAATCAACAACAGGAGTCTATGTCCTATGGTTGAAGAGAAGCCAGTAAATGTGTTTATAAGTACAGGTAGTCCTCGGCTTATGACGGCAATTGGGACTGGAATTGCTGTCGCTAAGCAATGTGGTCATGAAGCACGATGTCACATGACGACGCTGCTTAGTGACAGCAATTCTGGCAGTCCCAGTTGCCGTCATTAAGCAAGGATCATGAAGGTCATTAACAAGCACCTCACGTGACTGTGACTTCCAACTTCGTGCTGGCTTCCCCATTGACTCTGTTTGTGGGAAGCTGGCAGGGAACATTGGAAATTGTGATCATGTGACTGTGGAATGCTGTGACAGCCGGAACTCCAAGGACCCGTCTTAAGTCTCCCTTGTTCAGTGCTGTTGTAACTTTGAATGGTCACTGAACAAATGGTTGTAAGTCAAGGACTATCTGTATGTATG